AATGTCAGAATGATGTTTAATCCGTCAGAGAAGTTCTTCGAGTTACTGTCGGTATTTAAAAAAAAAAAACTGTGAGAAACTGAATCAAAAGGAATGCATTCGTGCAGAAAAAAATATGCTCACATCATTGAACAATTTTGTCTTCTTAAGGGAAATAATATATGACGTCTTCAAGAATGATAGATTTTGAGAAGTTTTTATTTTAAATTTTGGCAAAAAAAAAAAAATCAATACTCATAGACTAGATTTTGATTTAAAGAATAAAAAAGAAGGACATTTAAAAAAAAAAATGAGCCTGGTTGCTGATCTCTGATTATAAGAAATGAACTGTTCCAATTCGCCTTTAACACATCCGCTACTTGAACTTCAGGTTATCGAAGTATTTTCGTTGGAAACGAAAAAGGAGTCCGAAACTGCTATGGAATATCAACCCTCCTTTATGCTAATCAAGGCTGGACAATTCCACCAAGAATGAGGAGACATATGTTCTACCAATGAATGGAGAGAATACCATAGATAGAACATATGAGCCGTATGGAAGTCTTAATGTTGCTAGGAACAAAGAAGTAATACGGACAATCAGACAGAGATAAGTTCTGGAACATAAATAAAGAAAATAAGGCTTAGGGAAGTTGACATATGAGAGAATATGTGACACCAGAATTCGAAGGCGTATTCGAATAGCAGAAGATGCCTTCCAGAAGTTAAACCAAAAATTACTAAGAAAAAGAATATTCCGTTAGAAATTAAGGCCGCAGAATCGTTTATATAATGTCAATCCTCCAATTTTCCCCACAAATGGAGAAGACTTCAAGCCGCGGAGACGTGTCTCTACAGAAGGTTGCTGGAAATTCGGCAAGGACGTTTTAAGGAGAGGGGAAAAATGTAATTAATAATTTTTTTTTTTTTTAAATATTCTAGCGATAAGCAACATGTACAAGGTGGTCCGAAAGTCTTGTCACACCTACGTAATATAATTTTCTATTTCAACGCTCTGTGGGGTTTATCAAGGAGAGAGTGTCACATGAATGATACCAGAATACCCATCAGTTGAAGGACATCGTTCGGAGACACTTGCAGCAATTAACAAAGCACAGCTAAATAAAATAGCACACAGGACATGTCGACGCATTATTTTGTGCCATGAGAAATATGGTGTTCATAGAGACCTACTCGATGTGTGACAGCTTTAATCGAAATGAATAAAATGAATTCAGTACGTCTGCTTTATATCACTTGTTCTTCTATTGTTCTCATTACGATTTGGTGACAAGACTTTCGGACCAAACAGTACATACCGAAATTATCTACACCGTACAAATTTTATTTTGGAATGATATGTACATAGTAAAAGAAGTGTTATTTTGGCTTGGTATCTTTGATTTGCAGATAAAAAAAACCCAAAGGGGCACTTTGTTTTACTATGTAGATATCATTCTTAATTATAATTCGTACGTTGCATTTTAGCCAATGTATATGGTTGTTTATCGCTAGAATATAAATAAAGGAATTTTTGTTACATTTCAATTACATTTTCTTTATTTTATATATATATATATATATATATATATATATATATATATATATATATATATATAATATAAGTGAACATTAGAGGCGACAGTCGGTTTCATGCTAGATGCAATCGTCAGGCGACACCTATATAATATCGTCGTAGCCTGACGATTGCATCTATGAAACAGACTATCGCCTCTAAGTGTTGACTTCTATGTTCACTTTTATATATACACTCGCTCTATCTCTGATATTGAGTAGTTTATCCCTAAATATGGCACATCTTAAGACAATATTTCTTATATATATATATATATATATATATATATGTATATATATATGTATATATATATATATATATATATATATATATATATATATATATATATATATATATATATATATATATATATATGTATGTATGTATATATATATATATATATATATATATATATATATATATATATATATATATATATATATATATATATATATATATATATATTATATCTTTTACTATGCAGAAATCATTCCAAAATAAACTTTGTACGTTGTAGATAGTCATTTTAGCCCATGTGTATGCTGTTTATCGCTAGAATATAAATAAAAGATTTATTTTTACATTTTACATTTCAATTACATTTTCTTTTGTTATATATATATATATATATATATATATATATATATATATATATATATATATATATATATATATATATATATCATTCCCAAATTTTCGGGTGCAGATGTTTTTTCCATGTCGATAAGAATCCAAAGTAGCACCAAATAGAATTACTTACCGATATACATTATGATAAACTTTCATGACCGTCGCATTTTTCAGTCCATTTTGACAAGACTCCAGCTTTCAAGTAATCAATGCCTTTTTTTTGTTTTGTTTTCTTTTCCACGCCTCGCTGGTATTGGTGACGATACGTCTGATCTAGACATATCGTGACATGTATGAAATTTGAATATACATAAATATAAATATAATTATATCTGTTAAAACTTCTTTTATGGGAGGGGGTGCCCAATATTGCGGAGAGATCGTTTTCTAGGTGTTAACTGCATGGTGACTGGCAGGTTTACGCTAATATGATCTGATGAGTGCTTAGGGAATGCCAGTGATAGTCACTATGTGATAGTGAGTACTATTCCCCACCACAAACACACATATATATATACACACACATACACACACTTAAATATATATATATACACACATATGTATATATATATATATATATATATATATATATATATATATATATATATATATATATATATATATATATATATATATATATAGTTTAGTTTGGGCATAATATTCATCATAGTCTGGTGCCTGTCATTTTAACGCCTCAATTGACTATATAACTCATCGAGAAAATAACGTGGCAATTATAAAATTTAAATACATATAATTTAAATAGATATACACATATTGTTTAGAAATCGCTTACTCTCCCCTCTCTCTATTCTTCACTCTCTTTGTCTGTCTGTCTGTCTCTCTCTCCATATATATATATATATATATATATATATATATATATATATATATATATATATATATAATATCCAGTGAATGAATTCACGTCAAAATTACGCAAAATTGGAAATAACACTGACATCTCATTTTAACAGACATATTTACCAAAATTACACAAAAATATCTTGAAATACTAAACAGTAAATTTATTCCATAAAATCGCCATTTGCTTTAACCACAGCCTCCAGACGACTTCAGAATCTCTTGCATCTCTTCTGGACGGTCTCCTTGTTTAAGTTGGTGAATGCTACCATAATCCTTGCTTTCAGTTCATCTTTGGCATTACAAGGAGTTTTGTTAGTCTCTTGATCAACTGCACCCGACACATAATAATCAAGAGGGGGGTGCAGTCTGGGGAGTTAGGTGGTCAGATGTAAAGGGGTGATGTGGTCGCAGAAATTATCTGGCAGTCCTGACTGGGTTCTCCTGCTTGTTTGACATGATGCAAAGTCCTGCTGTGCGACACATGGTCTTCCAGCAGCTAGGGTTTTGAACCTGGGCAGTGATACCTCTTCAAGGAACTTGATGTAGGCCTCCGTGTTGAGTCTGAGTCCCTGTCGAAAGATGAATGAAGGCATAACGTCGTCATCTCCAGTGATTACTCCAAACACTATGATGTTGACTGGACAGATCATCCAACTCTTTCCAAACACTCTGCACTGTCCTCGGATTGACACCCTATTGGAGATAACGGCGCGAATGCTAAGCAATACAGCATCCCATTTCCGAAATTTATGACCCAGTGAATTGCGTCATGACTCTCTTTTGCTCACAGAAGGTGATCCTACTATACTGTTCATGAATCATAAATAAAATCAAACAACGCGCATGCGCGAAGTAAAAATATTAAATCACGACAATTTATCCATCGCACGCTTTATATGTATGTATGTATGTATGTATGTATATATATGATACATGTTTGAAATTTAAATGGCTATTAGTAAAATATGGTTTAGCAAGCCCTACGGTTCATACTGAAAATTCGAAACAAACGATTTTCATTGGTCAAAAAATAAGTTAAGGGTTACTGACTGAATCTAGCTATAATATCCAATGAAAATACATTGCCTTACTATAGATGAGCTCCGTTAATGTTTTTTACGCGGATTTTATGACAGAATAATAATTATTACGAAGAACTCTAAGATGCATTTACATAGCAGATGTTTATATTATAGGAGAACTTGCAAAATCAGAAGAAAAAAAATGTCATCAGCTCTGAAGAAATAACGTAAGCACCAGAGACAGAATATGAATATTAAATGTATAATTCAAGTGTATTAATAATACATTTGTTACGAAATGGAAAATACATTTAAAATCAGAAAGAAAGGGATTCTCAGTAGATGGGAATTACACTCGATATTGCTGAGGAAATAAGGCATTTATCTATAATTTTGTAAAGTAATGATGAATCAATTTATCAAGGCAGATCAGCTGTTTATATCACGTGGGCATTTCTTAATCGATTTCCATATGTTTCTTTCTTTCATTCTTTTCTTTCTACCTATCTCTCTTTTCGAGTGCTTCTATCTATCTATCTATCTATCTATCTATCTATCTATCTATCTATCTATCTATCTATCTATCTATCTATCTTCATATGTATGTGTGTATGTATGCCTCAATTGAAATCTATTTGCATCTATCTAGCTTAATCAGTTCATATCTATCTGTTTTAATCCGTTCATCTATCTATCTATCTATCTATCTATCTATCTATCTATCTATCTATCTGAATATGTTCGTATCTATCTATCTATCTATCTATCTATCTATCTATCTATCTATCTATCTATCTATCTATCTATCTGAATATGTTCGTATCTATCTCTATCTATCTATCTATCTATCTATCTATCTATCTATCTAAATATGTCCGTATCTATCTATCTATCTATCTATCTATCTATCTATCTTCTATCTGAATATGTTCATATCTATCTATCTTCATATGTATGTGTGTATGATTATGTTCGTATCTATCTATCTATCTATCTATCTATCTATCTATCTATCTATCTATCTATCTATCTATCTATCTGAATATGTTCGTATATCTATCTATCTATCTATCTATCTATCTATCTATCTATCTATGTATCTATCTATCTATCTATCTATCTGCCATGCAGCTCCACAAGGAGGTTATTCGCTGCTTTTCTCTGTAGCTGTTTCGTTCAACATCTCGTATGAGTGTAAAATTTTCGAACCCTCTTTCCTGAATATGTTTCTTAAAAATTTCAATTTCTTTCCGATACTATGTATAAGTGTATTTTTGTTTCCAGTTTCTCTAAAACTTAGTAATTACCCACTTGTTTAATCGGTGGTATTCTCAACATCCTTCTGTAGAACCACGTTTTTGTTACCTCAAGTCTCCTCTTCATCTGTTAGAATGCGTCCACTTCTATATAGGAGGACGGGTATTACAAAAACGTCTCAGCACTTTCGAACGAAATTTTCCTTAGCAGTTTGCGGCAATGTACTAGAAATTGTGGAGAACCATGATCGCCAAACGACCTGTATTGATGCAAAACATGAAGAAGAAGAAGAAGAAGAAGAAAAAAGAAGAAGAAGAAGAAGAAGAAAAAGGAATCAGGTTAAAGAAGAAAAAGTTGAAAAAGAAGACTGAATCGCATTAAAGAGGAGGAAGAAAAAGGAATCGGGTTAAAGAAGAAGAAGAAGAAGAAGAAGAAGAAGAAGAAGAAGAAGAAGAAGAAGGAAGAGGAGGAGGAGGAAGGATCGCGTTAAATAATAAGAAATTGGGTTAACGAAGAAGAAGAAGAAGAAGAAGAAGAAGAAGAAGAAGAAGAAGAAGAAGGAAGAGGAGGAGGTAGGATCGCTTTAAATAATAAGAAATCGGGTTGAAGAAGAAGAAGAAGAAGAAGAAGAAGAAGAAGAAGACAAGAAGAAGAAGAAGAAGACAAGGAGCTAACTGTTAATGTACTTATTATTGGAAAACATCTTTTCTCAATTCGAATGCATTTTCGGATTTTAGCGTCGTACTTTCTGTCCTCTGTTAAAATATTTTCCAGATTTTTAGATTTTTGTTGATTTTGGTGTCCCCAAATCTTAGTTCCTCTTCTTGGCAAACATTCTGTCTTCTTACAATTGATGGCTCGTCCTATCTTCTCGCTTTCCTTTAGTACCTGCAGTAGGAGTTCCTACTTTTCACTTTTATTTTTCTCCTGGATTGTCAATGTCAGCCATTTTGTTTGCCTCGAGGACTAAAACTGACGTCTCATTAGTTTTCATATTCTCCAACATATGAATAACATGTCGCGTAGAGTTGCTTTTCCAGCTGCCAGCAGATTTCAAAAGAACAAACAGCTGGGATATTTTGTTCAGAGGATGTGCAGGTAGCGTCACGGTTACTGGCGTCGGAAGTGGAATCGGTGAGATAAGTTTAAATTCCCACCGCATTTGGTGCATTCAATTTCGCACTAATGAATTTGGGAAAAAAATCAATCCAGCTCTTCTCCCACGCCAAGCTATAGGCTATATAACAGAGTATACTGAGCTCTCTAGCCTTGGTTGGCAACTAGTCTAGAAGAAGGATAAATCCGAATTTCAGTCCGTGGAAAAAGCAACGAATCGGCTATCTCTTCCAAAAGATCATGTCAAATATAAGAATAATAAATAAAAGTAATCTGTGGAGAGCCATAGACTAAATAGCAGGATAGACGGGGCTCCTTGGCCTTGGTTGCCAACCAGTCTAGGAGAAGAATCCAACTGTTCAAAGTATTGGGGAAGACAGCAAGAATTATCTCCAGTAGCTTTGCCAAGGAATCATAGTAACTCAGAGATTATGTAAAAAGCAATCTGTAGAGAGAAATGTGTGAAATAGCAGGGTAGACTGACCTATCTAGCGTTGGTTGGCAACCAGTTTGGAAGAAGATCACCGATGAAGTCCAATCGGTGTAGAAGGCAATGGCAACCCAATTGACTATATTTCCCAAGAAATCATGCTAATTTTCACAAAACGAATCTGTAAACAGTCATATGTTAAATAGCAGGGTAGACTAGGACAACTAGCTTTGAGTGGATACCATTCTAGAAGAAGGACAAAAAAGTACCTCCAATCGGTTGTGGACTGGAGCAGGAATTGGCTGGTGAACTTTAATCCCTCAAAAACAAAACTGCTCTCTATTACTCACCACAGAGAACCATCCCTGCCCCCCCCATTATAATGTCTGATGCTCTACACCACGAGAGCACCTCTTTTGGTCTCACACTCTCCGCTGACCTGAAATGGAATAAATACATTGAATTGATAGCTTCATCCACCGCAAGGAAAGTTGATTCCCTGTGTTGCGCCAAGGGTTTTTTCTCGCCAGAATCCATCCTTCAAATCTATAAATCAACCATTCGCCCTTACGTGCAATACTGCTTCCATATATGGTCTGGAACCCCCGCTGTTCGTCTTAAGGGATTCGACAAAACCCAGAGAGAGATGTGCAATGTAATTGGCCCTGATCTGGCATCTCGTTTACAGTTGCTCTCTCACAGATGTGCTGTCGTCTCCCTCTGTCTTTTCTACAAATACTTTCACGGTAACTGCTCCGACAAGCTACTTTCGCTAGTTCCCAGACTTCATTAATTTAAGCGTGTTAGTAGGCTGGCATTACGGTCCCACCCTTTCACTGTCGAAGCGGTTAAATGTGGCTCCCTTTCTCCTCAAATAGCTTCATGTCTCGCACCTCACGTCTGTGGAATTCCCTTCCTATTATATGTTTCCCTGATAGCTTTTATCTCTAACTATTCAAATGTAATGTCAATCGACATTTCCAGAAGCCTTGATCTATTCCCCAATCTTTCTCTTCATCCTTTCCTCCATCACACCTCTTTACTCTCGCTCCCAATCTCTGTAACCCCTTGCGTACTGTGGCATCTCGCCTTGCTTGGGGTGAAATGCTTAAAAAAAATGAATTCCACTTGTTGCATAATACAAGAGAAATATTCTTTGTATTTTTGTACTGCGGGTTATCACACACATATATATATATATATATATATATATATATATATATATATATATATATATATATATATATAT